CCGATCACGACGGCCAGGAGCGCGTTGTTCTCGAAGTCCTGGCCGAACGTCACGAGGAGGATGTTCTTGAGGAGAATGGAGTAGACGTCGCAGTATGTCGACGAGCGTCGCAGATCTCCATGTGGTGTGGGAGTGTTCGATGCAGGATGGGGGGATCGATCACGGGGTCGGGCCACCGTCACGGGGTGGGGCGAGAGGCGCGGGGTGGGGCGAGAGGCGCGGGGTGGGCGAGAGGCGCGGGGTGGGCGAGAGGCGCGGGGTGGGCGAGAGGCGCGGGGTGGGCGAGAGGCGCGGGGTGGGCGAGAGGCGCGGGGTGGGCGAGAGGCAGGCAGTGCGGCAGGGAGAGCGAGCGGCAGCGTGCGGGCGGCTCCCGCCCTCCTCCCCTCTCCGGCCGCCTCCCCTACTGCGCGGAGCCGCGCGCGCCTGCATCTCCGCGGTCGGCGTGAAGTCGACGGAGGACTTCTTGTGCTTCTCGACGCTCATGGCCTCGAGGAAGGTGTTGGTGATGAGGCCCGCCTGTGCGGTCGGGCGGCGGGACGCGCGGCGGTTCAGTCGCGCGGGTCGAGCAATGGGCGGCGAGACGGGGAAGCGGCGAGCGAAAGCCTCGGCGGAGGTGGCTTGGCGGCCGGGGCGGAAGCGGAGGGGGCGAGGCGCGCCTTGAGCTGGCGGAAGCCGGAGGAGGGGACGGGGAGGAAGACGCCCGAGATGGTGAGCGTGTCCCCCGCCGCGCACTGGCGCGTCATGTCCCCGTACAGGTGGACCGTCATCGCGCGCGGCACGTGGCCCTGCGGCACCTGGTCGGGCTCCTCCTGGATCTTGACCTCCTGGAACTTTTCGAACTTGGAGCCGCGCGTCTGGCGGCGCGCGGCGCGAGGGGGCGGTCGGTGTCGGCGTGGCGCGGCACGGGAGGGGCGGTGGGGGGGGAGGTGCGCGCGGGGTCGTGGGGCCAGTGGGGCCCGGCCAGGGCTTGGGCGGCGGGGCTGGGCCGAGAGGCGGTTCGTGCGCCTGGAGGTGG